AGATTAGAGCAACTGAAGTCATTTTAAAGTGACTGAGTGCTTTACCTTTTAGGGTAAATGTAAGAGTACCAAAACAGGCTGGCTGAACATAAGAGCACTGAAAACTACAGAAACATTTCCACTTGCCAGCCTTTGCTGCGACCTTCAGGACGACCCACCTGGAAGATGGAAAACAAGCGCTTTCGTCCCACCATATCTGAGATCAAATTTGTGAGTCTTCACTTCTAAGTCTAAGCAGTACCAGTTCTTTGAGGCTTCCCGAGAGAAAAGAGGATGCATATCTTGTGGAGAGGAAGAAGCAGAGTGTAACCATCGATGCCGTTGCTAAGCCACACTGGGGGAGGATGGAGGCTGTCGTGATAGGCAGGATGAAGCCAAAACAGAGTGGGACCACAGGCTGGCCACACACCCTCTTTCCATCAGGGAGCAATCAGAGAGCATCCTTTGATTTGAAAACATTAAGCAGCTCAAATGTAATTAAGAAATTTAGCCTGGTATGAATATGTAATGTACACACTGCTTTGCAGACGCCTTCTCCCTCCGACAGGCTGGTGCCGACTTTCATTTGGAAGAAATCCATTTTCATACAAAGGTAACCGAGAGTGACAGGATATAGGAAGCCTACCTCATTTATCTTCTGTGAACTTTAAAGAAAAAAATCAGTTAATTGCTTTTCTAGGAAGCTGTTTTATGAAATCAAGGTGCTTTATCTTTCTGCTCTTATTTGTGGTATAAATGGTGATTTTAAAATGCCCGTCATGAAAATGCTATGATTAATCAATACATCTTAAGGGATTTAATGACTTCTTTTAAAAACAGAAATCTGATCAACCAAAAATGGTCAGTGTGTTCTTGTAAATGAATTATCAACCACTAAGAAAACTCCTAACATACAGTCTACTAAATGATATTCAAATATAGGTGTCTCTTTCCCCGGAGAGGGGCAATAGTCACGGGCTTCCTGACTTTGCAAACGCGTTCTTTTCCCAGCCACTCAAGCCCCCTGCAAGAGCAGTGTAAGTTACTGCCATTTATTAAATTAATAGCAAACAGAAACTAAAATGTGAATGTTTTAGAATGCCACCACTGAAGCTATAGAGTGCCAAACAAACTGATTTCATAGACTTAGGCTCATATTTTGTCTCCACTGCACTACAGATTAGGCTTTTCTATAGCACTGCCCAAATTTTGTTTTGCCTACAGCACCTAGGATAAAAATATGTATTTTTTAATTCTACCAACTTTGAGACTAATATGAAGCACACTTTCCCAATCTGAAATTAGATAATTTCACCTCTTATTTCAAATAACAGTGTCTTAGTAGCCCATGAGCCGAAGACAGGCACTGTGAAACTAATGAAGCATAAGCTTCAGGGGCTCTGGAGTCAAGGTTCCTCCCAAGGTCCCAAGAGGAGCCCCAGTAATGTGTTTTTGCAAATATTTCAAGTGTAAAATATTTTCCTATTCTTTTTTTTCCTAAACAGGACCTCTAAGACAGTACAAATGTTAGGTCTCACAACCTATATTTGCCCCCTCTAGGCTAACAGTGAATTACATGCTCCATGTTAAGGGCAAGTATTAATTGTGTATGTGTGTGCAGGAGACAAAAAAATAATTCACTTCCACCAGAAATAAGATTCAGAGTGCCTGCCTTAGGACACCCCAGGACGCCTGCCTCAGCCATTCCTCAAGGCTCCTGGCTCCTACAGGACCACCCTTCCAAGCGGCACCCCAGGGAGGGCTCACTTAATGAGGGGGAGCATCAGGAGTGAAAGTCTTGGCTATAACAACAAAAATATGTTTTTCATTAAACACAAAACTGAGCTGGGAACAGCCAGCTGAGAGGCAGGTGTATCAGTGAAGGAAGTCCCTTGAGCTCTCTCACTTCCACATCAAACTGCACTGAAATTTCTCTGCACTAATTACCTATTATTGAAGATGAAAGAATGGTAACAAATAATTCGCCATGGCAGCAGATAGGGTGCACATGTTGGAAAGAATGAAGAATTTACCAAGTGTAAAATCAGACAAGAGAGATTCTCAAATTCTCAATTTTTAAAAGCAACAAAGAATTTTTTTCTATTCTAAGGATTATGAAGTTAAGGGAATTTTCCTAGGGCTAGAAGCCCAATTTTAAATTTAGTTTGGACTATAAGTGAGAGAAATGGCAAATTAAAAGTGAAGTGCTGGAATCTCCTTCATTTCTTGGAGGCAGAGATCAGGTTTTAAAACATTTTTTTTTTAAATCTCTCACACCACATTCCACCTAGCTATTGATTTGCTTTTCTTATGAGGAACGGCCCTTCCCAGTACCATACATATAGTTATATTTTCACTTCCCTGGTTTTCATGTCATTTTTACCCAAAACTTCTTTTGAGTCTCCAAATTCTTCACAGTGTCTTAAGTTTTGCTCTGTAGCTAACATCTTGAAAAAGTGTAGTCAAGTAATGCAAGGTCCCTTCAGGTCATCTCCTGTGTCAATTTTCCTAAGAAACATATGCTCTATCTCGGTGAAAATAACATCAGTACTACTGAAAGGACATTTCCATAGAGCTGGTATCTGTGTAAAAAAATACAAAGGCATTAACATTTATTAAATGGTTTGCTACCTTGTTTTATTCCTTCCAAAAAATTAAAGCAATACCTTCAAATCCAACTAGTTGATAAAATTCTTCAGTTTCTATTATGACTGTGCCTTTACAGAAATGTCTTATAAATACTGAATGATAGGTCTACAAAGAGTATTTTTTAAACTCTTGGGGATACTGTAAAGAAACAAACCAACCAACAAACCCTTTGAGCTTCAAGGACAGGAAGTGGAACATTCACTTACAGGTGCCACCCTGCTGCCCATTGGAGAGTCATGTTATTATAACAGCAGACTGACTGAGCACACAAGAGTTACATGATCCAAATTACCAGAGTCCTTAATATGCAAAGCTTTTTGCTAAAATAAGGACCATATATACCCTCCCCCACCAAACAAACAAAACACCCCATCAATTTTAACTTTGTTCTACAAACAACTTTACCTCTTTTCCTCAATGCATGATTGACCTCTCTGAAATATACCCTGGAGAAAGTTCAATGTCATTCCATGTGGGGGAGATGAAACACTTCTTATATAAAAGTTCTCATTTCTCTCGGTCTGCATCTTTATCTCAAGCATTTCCCCCTTTCTGTGAACACCGACACTTGCACAGGATGTCATTCTCAATCTGGAATCTGAGACAGGCATCATGGAAGCATCCACATGATCAAGGACATACCCAAAAGCCCAGTGAAAACTGGAGAGTTGTCCACATAAGGCTGCCCTGGTTGTCAGAAACAGACTTTCCACCAGAGCTTTACCAAGCTCATTAGGTTCCAAAGTAAATAAATTGTTACCCAATAAATTTTAAGTTTCTTTGGTGCATAAAAAAATAATTTTAACAAGGAATCACTGGGAATTAAAATTATGAAGGGATTCATGGTGATTATGGTCACCTCTGTTCAAAAATAAGTCAGGCTTCACTGGCTGGTACAGACCATTTATTTGATGAGGATAAGAAAAATCAAAGAGCTGGATGAATTCACTTTTGTAGGCAGGTATCTAGGTATGTTTCCTATAGATGTTTAGAAATGTAAATGCTTACAGAAGTTACATTTTGCTTCCATTAGTTCCTAATAAACACTTTTTGGGATCCATCATAAATGAATAATCAAAAGAAGTTATTGGTATGCATGTCACTTAATTTCCTCATGAGAACCTGTGTAAACATCTCAGAGTAATAAATGTGTCTTCTCTAAGGGGAATACATTGATCTCTCAGTAGGTATCTGGTGCTTTCTGAGATGAGAAATCAGAAATGCATAAAAGAGCTGACAGTGGCTCAGTCTTGTCGGACCCACGATGAAAAATGTCAAATCATCTGTTTCACTTGGTTACTAGATCAAGTTAAGATACAAAGAATATTCTGGCCATACTGTTATACCATCGTTTGAAAAGAATATGTCAAAACAAAACCACAAACAACTCCTTGAAGAGTCCCTAAGTATAATGTTCTGGAGCTTATACTGTATGTTAGTAAGTATACCAAATCACAGCAAAACAAACAAAAAATGTAGTCATATTTCTCCTTTATGTGATCTTAGCAACTGTCATCTATTTGGAATAGAATACAAGACGTGATCTTCTCAAACAGAACCTCATCTTCCACCCAGATTTACTGTTCAAGTGACTAGCCACAGCCTCTCTGCTAACTCTGATTGGTATTTACTTGTTTTAAAGTCTAATATTCCACATATTCATCCTATATATATTTTGTCATGCAATAAAAAAGCACTTTAGAGTAAATTCAACATGCAAACCAGAAGATCCTGAACTAAAAGATTTCACTCTCTTCACATTACCTAAGATCACTTCCATAGGACAAGGAGAATTCTCACTTAACATCAGTGAATCCAGATCTCAGATATTATAATACAGATAGGACACCTGAAACATTTGAATAATCACCATGTTCAATACTGAATCACTTAACAATTACTTTAGAAAACATGATGAGGCCTGCCTTGTCAAGTTTCTCCTGGAACCTTTCAAAACTGTCAGAAATGTTGAATTTCTGAACTCTTTTACATACAAATGAACCTCTTTGCATACTAAAAGCTTTGACATACTTTTTTTCCAGTATACAAAACCTCTGACAACACTGCCTTGTTCACACACACACACACACACACACACACCCCTTAAACTATATTACTTCAAGGCATTCCTTCCTGAACTAGCAGACACGCCACAGCTGCATATGCTGGTACTTAAAAATATTCTTATCATAATCAACTTGAGATTTTAAGGGTCATTACGGATGCATATACCCTTCTGTACTGATGGCTACAAATCCCACCACGTGACATTAGCCACACACTGACATAAAGAAACAGGGAGGGAAACTCGGAGCTGTCAGGTCAGCACTCGGACGACCCAGGTGCGCGTCCGTGGTGCTGAGAAGACTCACCTCTCCTTGCTTGGGGATGCTGAACTTGGACAGCTTGGCCTTGGCTCTGGCTGACTCCGACTTGGCGGCCGGGACTCCCCTGTACAAGCAGTGCACGCCAGTCTCTGTAGACGACTTCAGCTTCGGAGACTCATCGGGCGCCTGATCTTGGCCGTCCATGGGCCGCACATAGGCGGTAGGCTTCTGCTGGACGAGGCTGGGTTTCGAAGCCAGGGAGGGAGGAAAGTTCTGCACGCAGTGGCCACTGCCGCCGTGCTTGGCTCCCATAGCGGGGGGCCTGTCCTGGGTCTGAAGACCCACCTCGACATTGCACACCTGTTTGGTCCGCGGCTGCTGTCTGCCAACGCCATCGCCAAGCAAGTTCCTGAGAGCGCCCTGTTGTGCTGAGTTGGAAGAAGAAGAAGAGGAAGATGAGGAGGAGGGGCTTGACACACTGGGGCTGGGGTTTTTATTACGATTTTCTGGGTGAGCAGATCTGTTCAGATCAAGCGTCCTGTGTCCGTGCTTACTTGCTCTCTGTTGGCCATCGGATGGCGGGTGCCCAGCCTTCTGCCAGCCCACGGTGCCCCGCTTACTCTGCTGCCCGGGGACGGCTGCTGGGGCGGATGTGGTGCTGCAGATGGATGCTGGTTGAGTCTGGGTTCTTGAATCTGCCACAAAATGTTCATCAATCTTGGTCACAGGAGCCTGAGGAACCCCAGGTTTGGGAACACCCACAAGATGACTCTGGTTTGATCGATCCGTGAGAAAGTCTTTCATTTCATCGTAATTGCCTAAAGTGTTCTGGAGCCGGTTGGAGAGCTCATCCCCCTTGTTAGTCTAGAGAGAGAACACAACACCCACAGTCCTGTTAGAGATCACAGGAACACATGGGGATGATGGAAGAACAGGCCTTTATCACTCAAAGAGACAGACCTGCCACATTCAGAACGAGAGCAGGAAGATTGGATCAGACTGGGTGCTTCTGAAGACATCTGTCTACTCTCTGCATCTCACCAGAGCTGGACCACTGCTACCAGCCTCAGCACTTGAGAGTGAAGCATCTCTCCGTGGTCTTGTGCCACAGCCAAGGAAACCAGGAAATTTACTATTGCCACGTCACCAAATTGTCTGGACTAAGGCTTTTCTTAGGAGTGGATTTCCTTTTCCTTTCTTTTTTTCATTCCACTGTAAATTTTCCTTGAAAGTCCAGATTTGGCTCAAATTGTTTCACTTCCAATGTCTAAATATACAATTATTCTCATCAGAAACCCAGAGAGACAGACAGGAGCCAGAGAGCACAGCACCATGTCCGTCACCCCACCAGCAGTCCCTGGGCAGCAGACTAAGGGGGCACCAGGGTGCTCAATCTGCCCTAAGCCCCTGGCCTGAAATATGCTCACTTCCAAGCAGCCTGAGATATGAGTGAAATCTGGGAAGAGAATTTCATTTTGGAAGCGAGGTTGCACTTCTGGCCTTCAGCAGAAATAAGAAACAACCAACAGTTCTTTTCTTATGAACCATATCAAGTACCTTGCTCCTAGTACAAGCTGCGTGTGACAAATGTGTGACAAGCATGGAACCCAACCTCTGTTTAGTGTTTGCTTCCTAACAGTTTAGAAAACATAACAAACAGCACTGACTTCGCAAGTCAGTGCAGAGATGAAGTCAATTATGGATAAAAACCACAGCATGCAGATGTCCATGTTCAATAAAAGTTGTACTTCACTGAGGGACCAGACAGTAAAGACACACGAAAGAGACACCAAAATTGTGGGGGCGGGGGCATAATTAGGGGCTGAGCTGTCTCAAGCTGGGTTGGCCAGCTCCTATAGTCAAAACTGCCATTCCACGGGGTTAAGCAGGAGGAAAGGGGGGGTGAAGAAGGACAAGCAGAAACCACCTACCTTGTAGGGTTCACTAAAGAGGGAGTAACTCGAATTAAATGTGCCATCGTCCTGCTGAGTTTCCTGATTTCTTCTCTCTCGTTCTTTTCTCCGTAACACGTTTCTATCTGGTTCGTAGACACTGCATAAGGGAGAAAGAGGAGGATAACCACACAGACAAATTAAATGTAATGACCAATGCAACATTCACCTGAGTGCAGAGGTCTGGTTCACTGGGAAATGATGATGGTGAAGGGGAACATGGACCAGATGAAAGCCAGCCTAATCAAGCAGTATGGTGAGGGTGTTATAGAATTCCATTCTTCAGGAGGGAAGAAAAATCTTCAGGACAAGTTGCAACCAGTACTAGACCTCTCTCCTAACACGTGAAAGAGGGAGTACCTACACAATTTTGACAGGAAAAGACTGAAAATAATCTTAAAGCAGACGGTAATTACAGCAATGTGTAAATAGAAATTATGAGTGTATTTCCTCTTATGACACAGCCCCAGAATGTTATATGGGAATGTGTCTGCTCTTTTCTTTCTCCCCCGCCTTTTTTTTGCATGGCTGTGTTTCTGTAGTGATTCTTTCATTAACTAGATCCCCAAAGAGCTGTTAAAACTCCATGCTGCAGTGGTTTTCACGGTTATGAGCCTTCTTCTGATCTCTGCTAATCAGTCAAGTCGTCAAACCCCTCCCGAATCTATCCTTCCTTCTGATATATTTGACACGATCACTCTTCCTCACCATGAAAAATGTGCAAAGAGGAAGGGATGCAGGCAACGACAGAAAGGACGGAAATTGAATCATGGTGTGTCATCAAGGAACTCGGGCTTTTTGTGCAAGAAAATTAATATCTATTCCCTCAAGATGTAATTACGAAGTGACCAGAAACCTGATAACTAGAAGGACTAAGGAAAAAAAAATAGTGTTCCTTCCTCTTAGTGAGGGGAAAATAAAGGGGCTAATTCAACTAATAATAAGGAAGTGACTCGTTAAGTGATGGAAGGAAACAGACTTGTTTTTTCAGCTCAGTAGACAGAAATCTGGCTGCCGTGTAGACAACAGAACTACCCATTGTAAGGCACTACCACGTCCTCCAAACGAGTGCTGTGTGCATTTCCAGCAGTTAGTTTAAGTGACCTTGTCGTCATTTTGCTCAGACCTCCCTCTCAGTCTAGGAGACAGAGGCTGGACTTGGGAGCCAGGACGGCCACCTCCTCACCGCAATCCTGCCATAAACCAGTGATGTGATGACAGAAAAGCCATGCCATCACTCTCTCTGCAGCCCTCATTATAAAAAAGCACCTTCATGGTACTGTCACAAGGGTTAAACGTGAAGGAAATCTCCAAAAAGGGCTTTGTAATAGCTGCGGGTGCCCCAAATCCAAAGTGCTGCCTTCAAATGTTGTTATAATGAGAGGATTCGAGGGTTCAAAGAAGCAAAAAAATAAGTGAGGTTTGGGATATTTTTTTAGCTAAATTGCTATCTCGAGTAAAAGAGCATATGCATGTCATGTTGCTGTAAAGGATGCAAATAAAACGATCATAAAATAAATATTGCTTATCCTCCCAGCTCTGCCCGTGAGACCAGGATGTATTTTAAATTTGCTGTCAAAGGGGTGATGTTCAATGTGCTTCTGGCAAGACTTCGACAGCACCTAAGGCATTTCATTTAAATTTCAGATCAGGGAAGGTTAAAATACCCAGAACATGTAGCCTATTAGCATTTTAATTCATCCTTAGTACATTACCCAAAGTTATTCGGTTTGGGAGTCCAAGAAGTGACCTTCACGTAAGGGAGGCTGGGACCCTAGTCTTCCCACACTGAGGCTCACCACTCCAACCCTATAGTTACTGGGGACTCCCCAGGGTGGCTTTGGTGACAGTGACGGGCTTAAGGGAGGCACGAGATGGGAATGACACTCATTCACACAACGAGGTTTCAGATTCACAGGGGAGTGCAGACATCTGGGCCTGACTTCTGTGAACATACTGTGGATTTCTGATGGAGGCTGCCCTGAGGACACAGAACACATGCTACGGATGGGCATGAAGTGGGCTGGAGCCAAGAGAGGCGTTGCAGGTTTCCAATGAACTGGCTCACTTCTGGACCAGCACTGGCACTCAGAAACACGTGCCTGCATCACATGCACACATCCATGGGTGAAGCACCTACTGTGTGCCCCCCATGCACAGATTCCCACAGACATGCTTGCTGTCTTCAGCCAACTCAGGCTAACCAAACACACAAGACTGGTGGGATGCATGAAGTGGACTGATGTAACACAGAGCAGGCAGGTGGTCACTCAGGATGATCCCCCGGGCTTCTGCGAAACCCCCTTCCCCAGTATGATACCTCCTGCATCTGCTGGCTGACGACTGAAACTCCACAACTAGAGAGTCATTCCTCTGGTTTAGGATGTCTTCACCCCTGTAAGAAATGCAGATACCACAAGGAGGGAAAACACTTTACACCTGATCAGCCCCCAGCACCTAAGTGCGCATACATTTGTCAGCTTTTCCCCAGAGGCCGGAGGAAAGGACACAGGACATCACGGTCCAAGGGGAGTCCAAATAGGACTTGTGATGCAATGAAAAGTTCAGGACAATGCAGAGTATAGCAATGACGATACAGAAGTTACATTTCAAGGGATTCCCTGGTGGTCCAATGGTTAAGAATCCGCCTTGCGGATTTGATCCCTGGTTGGTGAACTAAGATCCTACATGCCACAGAGCAAGTAACCCATGTGCCACAACTAGAGGGTCCACACACTGACACAAAAGATCGCACACAATGCAATGACGACTCCATCTGCTGCAACTAAGACCAGATGCAGCCAAATAAATAAATATTTTTTAAAAAAATTCCTAGAAGGGGGATTTGATGTTTGGCTAGCATTAAAAAAAAAAAAAAGATACTTAAAAAAAAAATGAACCATACCTATTCTGCAGCGAGACTTGGACGTTTAAGAAAAAGGCATTATAAAGAAACAAAAGACCTATACATAGAAAACTATAAAACGCTGATGAAAGAAATCAAAGAGGACACAAACAGATGGAGAAACATACCGTGTTCATGGGTTGGAACAATCAGTATTGTCAATATGGCTATACTACCCAAAGCAATCTATAGATTCAATGCAATCTCTATTAAGCTACCAATGGTATTTTTCACAGAACTAGAACAAATAACTTCACAATTTCTTTGGAAATACAAAAAACCTCGAACAGCCAAAGTAACCTTGAGAAAGAAGAATGGAACTGGAGGAATCAACCTGCCTGACTTCAGACTATACTACAAAGCCACAGTCATCAAGACAGTATGGTACTGGCACAAAGACAGAAATATAGATCAATGGAACAGAATAGAAAGCCCAGAGATAAATCCACGAACCTATGG